ATGTGAGGTTGAATATTTCATTAGGAAGCATTAGGGGCATTATTTTAAAGGCAGATTTTTAAAAACCTTAATCACTAATGTATTATACATGCTAAAACCTAAGTGAAAAGGAGTGTCGATTCGTGTTGCCGAAATGTCCCCTTTGTTGTCTTCCACCTTGTTGGCGTGGTTAAATATTTAAGTGTCTCTGCTGAGGGAATTAGGAACTTGATGTTGTGATCAAAATACTATAGCAGCCATGAACTATCCATCTTTTTACTTCTCTTACAGCTCTCTGCATTAAACAGTGGTAATGGCCTGGCAAGAGCTGTCTGAAATGACATTATTTTTTCTTTGTTCATATAGATTGAGATAGTTACTTATTACTGCAGCCTGTTCTTACTGCCATATAAATTGCTAGGAAAGTGTATGAAGATCACTTTTGTTTCTGGATCAGTCAAATTTGTATTCTTGTAAAAATACCACGATGCATTGCCATAATGGCGGTAAACATGCACACACACACTCACACACACACACCCCATATATATGTATATATGTACATAGGATATTATACGAAAAACTAGCCAAATTATTTGACTGTAAGTGTTAGTTGCTTTCCAGGTTTGGCATGTATTTGATTTGTTTGGTTTGTTTTGGAGGAACGTTGGATGGGAAGGTGGGGAGTGAAGAGGAGAAGCTAGACTGTGCCTGAGATTTTTCCCAAGGCTGTAGCAGCCTGTGATGGCCTATGATGCCCACAGTGGAATCGTGTGATGGAATCCCAGGAGTGACTAGCACAAGGACTTGAGTGCTGATGTGATAGAAAGCTGTTAGAGACCAACTCTTTGTTTTGCAGTAAAGGAAACTGAAATCTAGAAAACTACAGTGGTGTGTCATCAGTCACATAGTTAATTAACAGCTGAGCTGGAGGTCGTACTTGGGTTTCTTGATTCCTAGCCCAGAAGTCTCTTCAATATATCTTCCATGAAAGATATGATGAATTTCCCCTAGATAAAATTCAGTAGAATTTTGGTGATGAATAGTGGTTAAGCTATAATTGCTAGCCTCCTAAACCTGATGGATGATAAATTAAAAGCATAATTAAGCATTTAAGAATGAATATTTTCTAAATTTCTATGAAGTCGCCTTTGAAATAGCCTGTGGAAACATGAAATAGTTATTTCAATCATGACTTTCCTGATTGAAGAGAAGAGTGGAATATCCATACTCGGTGTATGGTAAGTTGTTAACAGAATACGGAAGAAACTGCTTCCACATTTTACGGTGCAGTTCACTGGCAGTGTGGACCATGATTTTTGGGGACTTGGGTTCAGTTCTTTAGCTTATAACCTGGATTCCTCATTCCTCGTCTCCCACACATCTCAGATGGAAAGGCATGCTTTAGGGTACTCAGAGCTTCCTGTCCAAAACGGTTTTGGGGGAAAAATGATTTTAGAATCCCTCTATTGCCACTAGATTAAGCAGGCTTCTTGCTTTGATTCCATTCTGGGGTGAAATGGAAGCCAATAGGAGATAAAGAGAAATAGGAAACTCACAAGGCATAAAAATTATTTAAAACGTAGCCAGAGCCTTTTTAAAAGGGAATAGATGGAGCTATGTTCAGAAGCCTGCTGCCATAATACATGGCATGTTCATCTCCTTTGGCACTTCGAAAGTTTCTCTTGCCTTGTAATTAGTTATAAACTTGTGCTCTTTGCACTGTTAGGAATGTAAACTTCATAACGTCATCTGTTATTACTAAGTCTTTGTATCTGGAATAAGCATTTACTCACTGTTGAAATGAATAAGCACTTATTCACTGTTGAAATGCATGTGCCATGAGATCCTATGACCTTTTACTAGTCTTGGGTGCTGATTTTAGTAAAATCCCTATAGAGAATCAAATTAAATATAATATAATACATTAATGACAATAGCAATTCTGTTGCTGCTGCCACTACTACTACTATTACCACTACTACTACTGCTGCTGCTACTACTACTGCTATTACTACTACTACTTCTACTACTGCTGCTGCTGCTGCTGCTACTGCTATTACTACTACTACTACTGCTGCTGCTACTACTTCTGCTATTACTACTACTACTACTACTGCTATTACTACTACTACTGCTGCTGCTGCTGCTGCTGCTGCTACTGCTATTACTACTACTACTACTACTACTACAACTAGGATAAAGAAGAGGGAGAGAAGGAAGAAGCACTTATCTTGTGGAAGGCATTGTGCTAAGCATTTTACATAAATCATGTTACAACTTAATCCTCACAACAATGTTATTATCTTCTCCATTCTACAAATGATTGAAGTTTCACGTGGTGGAGCTCCTTGACGAGGTCCTGCAACTAACAGAGAGCTCAAACTCCTGAGTTCACACTTTCACCCTTACGGCAGATACTATTTTATTACCGAGTCTTGGGAGAGGCTGTGAAAAGTCTACCCTCTGTTTCAAATCATTGTAGCATTTTTTTGTTTAGTTCAGTAAACAAGTTTCAAAAGTTATATGTAGGCTTTGCATTCCTAGAAACTAAGGTAGCTCAGTCTACTCAAGCAAAAATTGTTACACAATTTCCTACAGGAAGAAAGAGTTACCTTTAATTGTTATTGATGATCAGTTTGAGAGAAAAGGAAGTCTGAAAATCTCTAGAAAAAAATTGTGAGTAATGCCAATGAGGGAGGGCTCTTATTCATTTATTTTTTTGTTTGAAGCTTGGCTCTGAGCTAACATCTGTGGCCAATCATTTTTTTTTTCTTCTTTTTCTTCTCCCCAAAGCCGCCTGTACATAGTTGTATATTCTAGTTGTAGGTCCTTCTAGTTCTGCTATGTGAGATGCCGCCTCAGCATGGCTTGATGAGCAGCGATAGGTCTGTGCCCAGGATCCAAACCAGCAAAACACTGGGCCTCTGAAGCTGAGCGTGCAAACTTAACCACTTGACCATGGTGCCGGCCCCAAGGGCTCTTATTAAACACTTTATTTAACTACCATGTAACAAAAAAAATAAAATCTTTAAAAAATAAAAGGAGGGGCTGGCCCCGTGGTCTAGTGGTTAAGTTCTCGAGCTCCGCTTCGGTGGTCCAGGGTTTCACCAGTTAGAATCCCGGGCGCAGTCATGGCACTGCTCATCAAGCCATGCTGAGGCGGCGTCCCACATGCCACAACTAGAAGGACCCACAACTAAAAAAAGTTACACAACTATGTACCAGGGGGCTTTGGGCATAAAAAGGAAAAAAAAATAAAATCTAAAAAAAAAATAAAATCTTTAACTACCAGGTACTGAAGAAATTTACAGAGATATGTCACATCAGGACTTATAACAAGTTATGGCATTTTCAAGTGGGAAAATGGTATAATGAATTTTTTAAATCCACCCCAGAATTGGAGCTAATATCATTTTTCACAAAGTCATAGATTATACTGCCATTCGTATACACATCTTTGTGATGAATGTTTAAGTTTTCTATATTAGTTTTAAATAATTGAGTCAATATTGTGATTTCCACTGATTTAAAAATCACCAGGAACCATATTATTTCATATTTTAGTAAGAAATCTTAATATACTATTTAAAAAGTAAATCACATTTCTTTTTCTTATGTACATAATCTTTATTTTATTGCATCATGACGTTAGGTATATATATGTCATCAGAATTTTCCTGTTTCAGTTTCTTTAAAAGCATAATTCAAAAGATGTGTGTCGATTTGGCGTTTTTATATTTTGTGAAAAACTTGCCATGATCTAGTAACATAATTGGGTTTCTGTTTCATCTAACTTATTCATTATTTTAATTAGCATTTTGCTAAACTACTTACACTAATTTTTCTATTCCTCTCCTGACCCATCTAATAACAAAATAGTGACATTTAGAAGAAACTGATTGATAGAAAGACGCCATTTGCGTTAAGATTAAAGTTAAAAACAAATTTCAGAAAAGAACGTGACTAAATAAAAAAAAAATGTGTCACATGACTAATATTAGCCAATTAGGCTTAGATAGAAGTTATAGCAACATATCGTACCTATGGGGTGGCTTACTGCTATTTTCAAAATGAGATTCAAGGCAAAAATATCATTATGTGTCAGTGTTTCCTTGGTATGATGGCACCATTAATTCTGTATATTTTCTTGCCTGGAAAAAGAAATTAGAGAATCTTAAAGGATAGTGGTGACTAATTTTTTTTAATCTTTCATTATTCTTGTCAACCATGAAATTTGTATATTGAAGACAATAGTGATGATAATTGTAATAATAAAATTATCATCATTATTAAATAAAGAAGAGTTGTTCAGTGATGAACAGACTTCAAGAAGATAGAAACCTGGGTGTCTGGTTTTGCACTTTGTTACCTTGGACGAGTCTTTCCATCTTTTTGAGTCTCAGTTTCTTTATCTGAAAAATCAGTGAGCTGTATTAAATGATCTCTATGGTTAATTTCTGCTCTGCATGTACCTTAACTTTCTTATGTTTTCTGGGAGAGAATCTTCTTTATCTAGTCTGTTAGAAAAATGATCTTAGAGAAAAGGTACAAAATAAGATGTTGTAGCTAATAGCCCGGTCACAGAGGAATATAAGGATGTTTATACTCTTTTCTATTTTATTCAGCTGTAGGTTTTGTAATCGATGCACACAATATCCTTTGCAATGGATGTAGGGAGCTCTGGTTTATGTTGTTGTAGAGATGTGAAGATGTCAAACAGGATGTGGATCCACGCTATTTACAGCTACTCCTGAGAAGCTTGAAGAGGTTTCACCTTCACATGGTCATTTCTGACAATCCATGTGCTTACCTCACAAATTCATGGTTAATTTTCTTTTGAAATTAAAAACAACGTCAACACTATTAACATGTTTCCATGTGTTTTAAGCAGATTTGTTTAATTAAAACCAATGAAGGTAAAGAGCAATATTAGTAGTTTTCAGAAACAAACATGTTTGGTCATACTTTAAGCAGAGAGAAGATTCTTATCTTTCCATTTCATTTATTTTTGGTTGCAGAACTTCAGATGGTGGCAAAGTTGTTGGCACCATAGAAGTCAGTCTCGTGAAGATGGGGGAGATTGAGGATGGGGAAGCCGACCACATCACGACAGATGTGCAGGGACAAAAGGTAGGGTCTCAGTCAGCTCATTGCACAAATTAAATTAGAAATGATCAGCTCTGCCAGATGCCTGAATCACCAGCGCCTCTGTGTAACGAAATCTCATTATTCAAAAGCTAAATGAGAAATCAGCTTTGGAATTGGAATACCATAAGTGTGTTTCATCCTCCGAACCAGAGGGCCTGTTTGCATGGAACTATGCAAAGCCACGTGCCATTCAGAGACGCCTTCCTCTTCACCACTGTCTCCCTGTTGACACTGCCTCTTCTCAGTTGAACAGAAGTATTGATCACTCTTGCTTTCTGCCATAATTAACCCTACTTGAGATGCACAGAAGATTCTGGGAGAGCTATTGCCAAAAATAACCACTTCTCTACTCTAATCCCTCTTTGGAAAGAGATGCAATTTGCATTTGGATTTCATTTTTATGTATGTGAAAGAGGGCACAGTCAATGACTTTGTGCCTTATTAAATTGCTGAGAGAGATGCAGGAAATAGTACAGAGAGGAGGGACAGCTCTGGAGGAGGGGCAATGCCTTCTGGAAGCAAAGCAGCCTCCTTGAAGCCTAGGATGAAGGCCCCAGTGCATATCAGGATGTGTCCAGGATTTTTACTTTCTTCTCTCCAAGAAAGAGAAGCTTGATCTAAGTTTTTTTTTTTTTTAAGCTTTTCATAAATGAGCATCATTTCATGATAAGGCCTATTATGACTTAATTTCTGGCTTAGCATGCCTTATGGGAGCATATATAATTTTTGGTACTGAGGAAATATTTACATGAGAGATGGTGTTTATCTAACACTTAACAAATTATTTAACTTTACAAAAAAATCTGACTGCCTGTCAAAAACATATCGTTCTTGCCCCAGAATAAACTAGGCTCTCATCTTCTGTCCCAAGCCTTTTTCTTCTCCATTCCCCTACTCTCCGTTGGAACATATCATTGGAGTGAAAATATTCCAAGGAGGCCCAAAGTTTGAATCACATTACTTGAAAGTCTCAGGGCCCTTGTGAAGTTTTGCAGCAGGTCTTCTTAGGATCCGTGTACTCAAGACTCCTGTCTTGTGGCCGGGTCCCTTCATTCAATCCTGTCTCCTTTGGAGTTCTATACAAGACTCATATTAGTCACCGCCACATGAATGCTGTATCGAGATTAACAGGGAGGCTTTGGAGGCTAAGCAGGGACAGAGAGCAGAAATAGGCAGAAAATGGTGCCTGGACCTGTGGCAGTGTGCCGGGAGACCAGTAGCAGAAACACTCCACATGTCAAAGTAGGGCTACGTTCCCTGACTCTGACTCTATTATTAGCTACCTCTCTATTTTCCTCAAAGCTTGCCCACCCCCTGACTCATTTACCATGTAACTATTATGAGATAGCACAAGTTGAATCATGTTCTTTTCATAAATGGAGAACTTGATACCCAGGAATATGCCCCACCAAAGTCCATCCTACTTAATGTTTCTGACTTAGTAATGTGAACTTAAAAAAGCCTTAACTGGCCTGTTCTAGGAATAGGAAGTGGCAGTGTCAGCATGTACCACGCACGAGTCATAAGTTGACTAAGATGGTAAACACACCAAGCACTATTGGCATTACCTCTGTCCTGTCTGGATTCTTAGTAAACCTTGACCTTTTGCAAATCCTTTTTACAGTTACTATAAACTCTGTTGACAATCCCTAGGGATATTCATGATTGAGTGACAGGCATGTAGTAAGGTGCACTATGCGTGATATTTAGAAGAATTATGTAGAAATAATTATCTCAGTATTTTTTGAAGTATGATCAGAATCATCTGGGGTGTTTGTTAGAAATGGAAATTCTGGGACCCTTTGGCAGATTTGCTAAATCAAAATTCCTGTGAAGTGTATTAACGCAATCTGCTACTAATGGTGATTTAGATCCTGAAGTTAGTGATTGACTGAAACATATAAAAAGATGAAGTAACTGAAATAGAGGTTATCCCTAAAAAAAATATCCCTTTCAGTGGTTTGCATGAATGGGAGGGAAATAAATGCAGTTACTCTTAGCACTATGGTCATGTGGGTGAGTAACACATGTTCTCTCTCACGTATACCTAAGCAGATAAGTGATTAATACCTGTGTTCATCAGTTTGGGCTGCCATGATAAAATGCCATAGTCAGAGTGGCTTAAACAACAAAAATTTATTTTCTCACAGTTCTAAAAAGCTAGGAAATCCTAGATCAAGGTGCCAGACGATTCACTTCCTGGGGAGAGCTCTCATCCTGGCCTGCAGACTTCTCCTTGTGTCCTCACATGGCCTTTCCTTGGCACACATGCAGAGAGAGAGAGTGAGCCAGCTGTGGTGTCTCGTCCTTGTCTTGAAAGGACACCAGCCCTATAGGACTGGGGCCCCAGCCTCATGACCTTATTTAACCTTGATTTCCTCCATAAAGGCCCTATCTCCAAATACAGTCACATTAGGCGCTGGGGCTTCAACATATGAATTTTGAGGAACATAATTCAGTTTATAACAATATTCCTGACACAAAAACTACATTTTAATCATGAATCTTTTAATCATGAATCCAGAGCATGGAATAAAATGTAAGTAAAAATTCAAACTCTTTCCGTTCACATGTATTTACTTGCTTGTTTCCTCAAATCATATTATTATTATTATATATTTCTCATCAAGGGAAGCTTGTGCCGAGGGTCATGACCCATATTATACTGGGTCAAACTTTGATATATACATGCATAGAAATAGACAACAGTGTTAAAAATCACACAGCAGTAGAAAGAAAAATTCGCAAAAGAAACGCTAACATTGTCCTTTTACAAAGCTAATATATTAGGGGAAATACTGCATTAGGTATCCAAAACTGTTTTTTTTTTTATTTTGGAGTCTTCTTTCTCTCCTTTCTTCCTGTCATACTCACAGTCAATTTGTCAGCAAATCCTGTTGAGACTGTCTTCTAAATAAATCCTGAATCTGATGACTTGTGACCCCTTCACTGTTACCAACATTGTCTCTCACCTAGATTTTTACAGTACTCTCTTGAACGTGTCCCTGATTCCCTCCTTCCTCCTCCCCTCACACACCCGCCTGTCCATCATAGTCTGTTCTCAGCAGAGCACTTATTAAAATATAATGCAGACCATGTCATTCCTCCAAAGGCTTCTCAACTTCCTGAAAGTATAAACCCAACTCCTTTCAGTGACCTAACTTAAAGTCCTACAAGTGTTTGCCCCCATTACTTCCTTCGCCTTATCCTCTACTCCTTTTTTTTGCTCCCTTCAATCCAGCCACGTTATCTTCTTTGCTATTCCTTTAAGATTCCAGGTGCATTTCAAACTCAGGTCCTTGCACTTCGTTATTCAACCTGCCTTTGAACCGTTTTCCCTAGGTCACTGTGTGCTTCACTACATTACTTCCTTCTAGTCTTTAAGCAAAATGTCACCTTCTCACTGAAGCCTTCTCTGCAACTGTATCTAAAATTACAATGCATACCCCAAACTTTCTATCTCCCTTCTCTGCATTATTTTTGTCCTTAGTCCTTATCACTGTCCAATGCCATGCATACTTTAATTATTTATCTCATTTATTGTCTATTTCTCTCATTAAAATTAAACTTCATGAGAAAAAGATATTTGTCTATTTTATTCTCTCCTTTAACCCTAGTGCCTAGCATAGAGACTGACACAGGAAAAAATGAATGAATGAATGAATAAATGAAGTCAATTTTACTTTGAAGAAATAAAATCTAAAATTGTCTCCCAGAAGGGAAAATGTTTGGCTGCATATAATGCTGCGCAAACTGATTGGTAAATAAATAAAGACTGGAGTAAGGGTGTAGTGAAGAGTTTAGGATTATGAAGGAAAGAGGAAGAAATTTAAAAAAAAACAACCTTTGAAGTAAGTAGTCAAGAACAAAATGCTACTAGAAAAAGGAGAGTTAAGAAGCAAAATCATCAAATCAGGTGATAGATGAGAAAACTCCTGTAAGTAAAGCCAACAGGATGAACTGAGAAAGCCACAGTCCTCCCCTTTGCCCTCAGAGAGATGCGTCAGCTTCTTGTCGGGGCAGGAGGGTTGTTAAGAGCATCCTCCAGTGAGGCTTTGCAGGAGCTGAGTCCAGATTGGCTTCTGCTTTGCTCTTCTTTTTGTTTAATGTCTATATTAGATTTGAATATGGTGAAGTACTAATGATCAAAGTGGTGGTGATTTGTACAAAAAAAGGGAAAATGCCTTACTTATTTTTGACAGTAGCAAAGATGGTATAAGTGGAGTAATAATATATCTCTTTTTGACTGTGAACTTAACCTAGCTAGTATTTTGATGACCTGATGTGCTCAGGTAATTTTGCTTCCATACTTTGAAGTGGTGTTTTAAGCGGACTTTCATCAACCACCATCAGGGAAAAGGTGGAGGCCTTGGGTAGCTAAAGACTAGTCTCCAAAGGTCTCATCCCTTTATTTTTCCCAAATAGAAAATTGAAAATTGTATGACTGGCCTTACTTACCTTGTAGGATATTTGCAGGTGTATAATATTCCTCATTCATTCATCAAATAATACTGCCTTCTATGTTCTAGGTATTCAACAATGAACCAAATAAACACAGATACTGCCTTTTGGGGAAGTAAACAATAAACAAATGAAGAAGTAATATATTGTTGATCAAATGTTGCTATACACTGTAAAAGTAATAAGACAGGGTACAAGGACTAGGGAGTGCTGGCAGGTGGCCATTTTATACTGGATGATCAATGATAGATTCACTGATACTGTGATATTTGAGCTGAAACATGCAGGAAATAAGGGAGCAAGATGTGGATATCTGAGAGGAACAAGAATTCTGGGTAGAGTGAATAGCAAGAGCAAAGGCCCTGAGCTGGCAGCATGCTTGTTATGTTGAAAGAATAGCAAGGAGGACAATGTGACTGGAGCTGAGCAGTTAAGGAGGAGAGTGGTAGGAATTGAGGACAGAAGTTCATGGGGTAGGGAAGACAGATTGCGTACTCCCTGCTAGGCCATTAGACTCTGAGCTAGATGTAAAGACCGTTGTGGATTTTTGAGAATAGGTGTGAAATGATCTGATTCATGTTTTGAGAGGACCATTCTGGCTGCTGTGTTGAGTGTGGCCTGAAAGGAGGCAAGGACAGAGAACGGAGCCTGCTTATTGCAGAGATTCAGGGTAGAAATGAAGACGTGTTGCATCAGGATGTAAAAAATGAAATGTAGCCAGACTTGAGGTGCAAAGGGTAAACAAAGAATAGGATTACCATTTGTTGTGATAAGGAAAACTGAGAGAAGCAGAGGAAGGAGGACAGGAAATGGGGAGATGTTAAGTCTGATTCCTCTTAGACATGCAGATGTAGATGCATGTAGGCAGTCGGAGGTTTGAGTCTGGAATTCAGATGAGATGTTCAAGCTAGAATTACATATTTGTGAGTCATCAGATGGTATTTGGATGGTATTTAGACCATGAGACCGAATGAGAAAAGCTTGGCAATTCGCATATTTTGCACTCTTAAAATTTATATTTATGTGGATTTTATCCATTGGTATTTACTACATTAGAGATTTTACATTTTTGGATTATATACATTTATCATCTTAGAAATTCAAAGGAGAAATGTTTAAAACAGAAGGGTACACAAGCACACATACCTTTAGCCATCAAATGATTATGTCATATAGCCTCTGGAAAATTCCACTCTATGCTTGTAAGAGAAAGAGAGGGAAACCAGTCAAATAATTTTTTAGTATTATTATGAAAATAATATTGTCTTCACTCTGTTCTAGATGCTACAGAGATTCAAAGACAAAAGTTATCAGGGACTTGCAGGAGACTCTAGACCAAACTTTGAGAACCATGATTTAAGGAATAAACTAACAGAGGTGAAAGTGCTTTGCCAAGAAGTATTGGTCTTTGATGGATTCATACAGAACTTTGTGATCATTGTTCTTACAATTTTGCTAATTTTCTAGCCCAAGACATGACAAATTGATATGTTAGTTGATGTTCAAAATCATTAAGCTCGGGGCTGGCCCCGTGGCCGAGTGGTTGGGTTCGCGCGCTCCGCTGCAGGCGGCCCAGTGTTTCGTTGGTTCGAATCCTGGGCGCGGACATGGCACTGCTCATCAGACCACGCTGAGGCAGCGTCCCACATGCCACAACTGGAAGAACCCACAACGAACAATATACAGCTATGTACCGGGGGGCTTTGGGGAGAAAAAGGAAATAATAAAATCTTTAAAAAAAAAAAAAAGTGAAAAAAAAATATCATTAAGCTCCAAGAATTTTACGTATCTTCTATTTCTTCTCCTTGGCCACATTTAGCATCTAACATATTCGTCAAAATCAATTGGTTCATGATGCTGCATGTGGTATAAAAAGCTTGTGATATTTGTTATTTCTGATCAGAATCACAAATGTTAAGTCATTACATTGAGAGCACACACCATATAAGTGTGTAATGCTGCAAATATCCATCATAATGATAGCAATGAACAGTCTGTGTAGCTTGAGTCTCCTTAAGCACAGATTCCACATCATTTTAATCTTTGCATTTTCTGTAGCAGCTAGCACATATAAAAGTGATTATAGGGTCAATTGTAAAAAATTAAATAAAATAGCCTAAGGAAATAAGAAATAAGAAGTTCTTAGCTTCAAAAAACTTTCAATCTAAATAGAGACACAGAAGGTATACTCAGGAAACAATTGAAGAAACTAACTACTGAGTCCAAATATGAAAATATTAATTTAGTGAATATTTTTTGGATATTTTCTGTTTATATGCCATGGATTTAAATCTGAGAGCATTCTGAATAGTAGAGCTTCAAAATACAATTGCAAAATAATAATGTGATTAGGTTAAAATTGTCCTAAATACCTGCCTTCCAGTTTGAATGGGAGATATGAATGTATGAAAGTCATATTTCTATATCTGTTTAGTAAAATAATACAGGCCTTCTGTTAGGAAACAGAAAATTGTCTTTATTACAAACAGGCAGGTCTGCCTTCATATAGGGGACCAGTTCTCAGGATAAAGCCTGGTCCTTATGAATTATGGACTTCTTCACTAAAGGGGTTTAATCTAAACCATTCCTATATGCTATATTGTAGATGATGATCCTCTTTTGGACAGGAAGATGGCTCATAGCTATATGCCTGGTTGTTATGAGGAAGGACGTCAGAGACAAATCATGAAAGGATTTGAAGACTAATCTGAGAATATTGGATTTGATTGGGCAGTAAATACACATTATACATTCTAGAGCAGAACATTGATGTGATGAATATAATGTTTACGAAAGATTATTTTAACAGCCCTACATAGGCTGAAAGGAGTAGAGGAAATATTGGAAATTGGAGGAATAAAGAATTTTCAGTATTTCCAAGTATCATCATTGTAATGCTCTAGTGATTTGGAAAGTGAATTTCCAAAATAACTGTGGATTAAAAGAAAGGATCACCTCTGACATCTGGTTGGTCATGAAAATAACTTGGAGAAAATAAAATTTTAAGAGCTGTTTGCAGTTAGTTATTCATTCTTTCAGTGAACCAGGACCTCAATATAAGCGCTAAAGAAATTATGAAAGCTTATTTTTCCCCATCAAGAAATTCCCTGAGTAATGTGATGAATTGTTATGGTAGAGGAATAAGTATTGGACTATAAGGATACAGAAAGTAACATTTAAATCAATATTTTCAATTATTTATCTTTATTCTCAAAATGCTTAAGGGATATATACATTCCATCGTAACAGTGACCTTAGTGGCCATGATTCTCAAGGGGGCCTGTGCCCGGAGGAGGAAGAGGAGAGAGAGAGAGAGTTAGGACAGTAAGGAAATACCCAAACAATTTGGATACACCCTACTGGGGGTGGTGGTCTGAGCCCTTGGCGTCTCTTGAGCAAAGCCATGTGTGCTACAGAAGGATGGCACTTTCCCTTAAAACTCCTCATGAAAAGAATTTGCTGAGTTTTCATTTGTTTGTTTTGTTTTTATTTGCATTTAGTTGCTTATGTCTGATAACGTTTGCTCTGAACATTTCCTCTCCTCCTTCTCTTGGTTCCCCACCTTTTTTTTTTTATTTTTTGGCTAGAGATAAAAGGAAACTCATTTGAAGAAACAAATGCTGGTGTCTGTGTGAAAATAGGTCTCTTGTCAACCTCCTGGGGTCAGAAGAGTTTTGCTTCTCTGTTAGTTACAATTTCCTAGGAAACTTAAGGAAAGACCCACGCTTAGAAATAGATGTCTGGGATGTTGTCTTCCACTCACGGCTCACGCACTAGGAAAATGGCAGTGTACTCTTCTGTGTCTCTTCGCTCATTCTGTCCAGAGACGTGTTGGTTCTGTAAAGGCTCATGAGCTTAATCTGTTCATCATGGATTAATAGATCCATGATCTCTGGATCAGCTTATTTATAAATTGCTTATTTATAAATCAATGATCAGCTTATTTATAAGTTGTTATACTGTATGAGCAAGTGTTTGCATTATTTTGCTGAAGACAAAAATCTGCTTTTGTCCTATGTAATTAGATGCTACAACATATTTTAATCTTTTATTTAAAGTTGGCTTTACTGAAAATCTAGAAAATAATTTGCTTTTTATTGATCCAAAATCGTCGCAGGGGACAGAAATACAAACCCATTCAGCTCGTCAAATGTGATTTGCTGTACCAGGAACATCTCCCTAGCATCCTGGGGACAGTCCTTTTTCATCTTTTTCTTTCTTTCCTAAGTCATCTTTAACTAGAACTGAAATGGAGTCTATAATAATATATTACAGTCATAATATATGTAAGTAAATAATCACACTAAAAAAGCTTCATAGTGAAGATAAAGCTGAAAATAGTTTTACAAAAATGTTGTGTTCAAAACTTTTTGAAACCAGGTTCATAGCCTCATTTTTGCAAACAAAAGAAAACGATTTCATTTCTTATTTTATTTTCAAACATGTTTCCTTTCTTCTTTTTTCCTTTCCTAGTGTGCACTGGTATGTGAATGTACAGCCCCAGAAAGTGTGAGCGGAAAAGATAACTTACCTTTTTTGAATGCAGGTATGTACCTCAGGTTTCGAAACATGTTAGTTTCATCTGAACCTAAATTTTAATTTCCTGTGAACTCAGTACTGAGTCTGGGCAGCATTCTTACAGAATCATTTGTGAATGCTCACAAAATGAGTTGGTAATCATGAGGAGCCAGCAGAGTGGGGCCATAGACTTGACAATTCTGTAAGGAAAGATATATAAATACCTTGGCTACATGGCAAAACAAATTCCTTTCAGCTATTGGATTTTGTATTATCTGAAACAAGACACATTAGAAGATAGAATAAGTATTAGAAATGTGAAACTCTTATTTAGTTTGACTTTCTAATTATAGAACTCAAAGTTGTTAAACCAGTAGGCATATGGATTCATGAGGAAAAATTTATACATGTATTTGTACATGCTATGTTTGTATGCATATTCTGTGTTAATGAGAGCAATGTATTTGAATTTCAATAGGGCCTTAAACAATGTGTTAAATGATGACCTTGTGGGTAAAATTGAGACATATGGTACAGTTAAAAAATATATGATAATATGTATATGTAATTATGGAACAAAGTTTTTAATGATAAAGTAAATTGTATTATCATTAATAACAATAGTAAATAATGACTATTACAGTGAGAGACAATGTGCTAAATGCCTTAGATGCCTTGCCTTACTTTGCCTTCTGACAGGTGCTATAAGGAAGACACTATCATTATCTCCATCTTACAGATGAGGAAATTGGTCAAGGTCACCTACTTAGCAAATAGCAGGTCCAGAATTTAAATCCAGTTTTGATCCCAAGGGCTTTGCTCTTAATCACTAGGCTGTTCATTACTAAAAAGCCATTAATTAACAAGTTGGTGTGACAATAAAATAAGCCTTCATATTTTTCTAGCCCTACCATGTTGTACACTTAAACAATGACATAGCATAAAAATCAGCTTAATGAACGATACCAAACTTCAAAGGCTTGCTAATACATAACCCCTAAATTATTAACAGTTTTTCCCTGCAGGAAGCCACTAATAATAGGAAATGGAGAAAAGGAAGGCCTCCCTTTGGCTGTGCTTATAAGTACAGAGAACTCAAAATTTAGCAATAAAAAAGCTATTAACTATGCTTATATAGAATGAGAGATTATACCAAAGAAGAGCAGCTAATTCTCAACCTATGACCAAATGACGTGTTTTTTTAAAAGTTGTATTAAGAATGCAGATGAGTAAGGGATGTGCATTAAACAGTGAAGGATCTACCCGGTCATGTACCATCAAAGTATCTGATAAGTTATCAACGTGGTTAAAATATCTAATGTGTCCTCAAAGGGTCCTCTTCACGTTTATTTATTTATTTATTTTTTTAAGATTTTATTTTTTCCTTTTTCTCCCCAAAGCCCCCCGGTACATAGTTCTGTATTCTTTGTTGTGGGTTCTTCTAGTTGTGGCATGTGGGACGCTGCCTCAGCGTGGTCTGATGAGCAGTGCCATGTCCACGCCCAGGATTCGAACCAACGAAACACTGGGCCGCCTGCAGCGGAGCGCGCGAACCCAACCACTCGGCCACGGGGCCAGCCCCTCTTCACGTTTATTTTTCCACCTGAAAGTTGACCGAACCTTTAGTCTTTAATTTAATATATCCAGATAATCTATTTATTTTACTAAATGCCATTTTTGAGAAATAAAATCAAGGGTGGGAGATATTAACTCCCTCTTATATACAGTCTGAATAAATAAGGTTGTCACCAAAATGATCGACACTATAATTATAAGATAATTTTTTAATGATTCACTCATGTGAACCTGGTAATCTTTTATGCACACAAAAAGAAGTGCCATTTTTAAAATACTGATTGGTTTAATATAAATTTCAAAGAGAAAGAGAAAAATGACTCTCTAAGTAGAAAATATATTACATAAGAAAGAAGAGACTGAGGGACATAGTGAAAAATAAATCTGTACCTCCTAATACTTGTGCCATAAAATCTGTAAGGCGTGAGTCTTGGAAGTGCACTAATTCTTCCATATTACTGGGGACTATTCCTAATGCGTAAATTGTAATATGACAAAGACAACTGACATGGAATTGATGGAAGCAGCTGCATTCTGCAATTTAAATATGCTTACTTAGTGGAGTGAAAGATGATTGATTACTTCTTTTCTTCGTTCATGGTGGTGACAGTTGTGGTGATATTCCACTTACTTCTGAATGTATTTCTCAATGTCCTTAGTCCAGGCAACCCGGAGGAGTGCTCAGAACCTAGGATATTTGCCACATATATTTTCTTTGAGTCTTCTTATATTTGGGGAAGAAAAGAATAAATGACAGCAAATGTTATAAAAGTTAGATTTTTAGATAAAAACACAACTAAGTACTGTATTTGAAATGTTTCTGTTCAAAATATAAAATTGTGTTGTGCTGGTATAGAATATACCTCTCTGTGTGACTTTGGCTTGTGTGTACCTCTGTCTTTGGTTCTATTTATTTATATGTCTAAACTCAGCGACTTTGGAATTAATCTATTATAGTCCCACGTGGTATTTTTTTTAAAAATCTGTAGGCAAAGGGAGCTATTGACATTCTTCTCAAGTCTTTGTATTAATGTATTATATAGAACTTGCCAGCCTCAAGTGAGTTATGAAGTACTTACTGAGTGAGTGGAAGAGAATGTCCTACCTCATAGCAGCTCTTCATTATTCTATTTATATCTCTAGAGGTTTAATTTATAATTCAGGAAATTCGCTTATCTATTGTAAGACGAAAAAGAAAAAGTTCTTCCCCCTAAGGTGCCACCTTTTTTATGTCCTGTTTGCCTTGCAAGTTGAATGAGTATGTTGGGAATCTGGGTAATGGAGGGCAGAAGGAGAGAAAGAATGAGGAGGACTGGGGACAGAATTTATGATCCCGTAAGAAGGATATGTAAGTACCTTACCTATATGGGGAGGCAAATTCCTTTTAGCTGTTGGATTTTATATTTTGTGAAACAAGACACGCTAGAAGACATTGTAAGTATTAGATATGTAAAGTTCTTATTCAGTTTGACTTTATATAATTCACAGAATAAAGTTCTTGAAACAGGAAATTTACCTCTTTAATTATTTGCTTATTCATTTAAGCAAAATGGTAGTAAGAATGCTTAAACCTGTTGTTGGGGGAGTAGGGGAAGTTAATTTTGAACATAGAGGAGTGCAGAGGGTCGGGTCTGCCACAGGGCCTGCTAAGTCACGTCGACTGAGGCCTCTCGTCTGCAGCAGAACAGTTACAAGTGGGCTCTTGTGGTCTTAATATCAGAGCACTGAACGAACTGTCGAAAGAACTGGTGTCAAAGCCTAGATGTGCCAACCAGCAGTGCGACCTGATAGACAGGTCAGGCTCTTTGCTCATCAGTTCTTTTAAAGTGATCAAATTAACCTGGACAGTCTTTGACTTCCTTTTTGGCTCTCAAATGTTTGAAGCTGATATAGCATAGCTTAGCTTTTACATGTTTGTCTTCTTTTTAGAAGTATTTCATAAAAGTATTCCTTTTAATCAGTTTCACGTGGAGTGATATATCTATTTGTTGTCATTTACAGTTGTCTTTCCCAGGAGTTATTTATATTTAATAAGCCTGACCACAGATGTACCATTTTAAAATTTTGTCAAGAAGACAGTTCTTTCTAGATGTCTTAATTCTCCCAGTTTTCCTTGTAAGAGTATAGTGCTGCAGAGTCCTTCAGCCCATGGACCCTTACCCTGAGGAGCTGATGGGCCCTGTCACAACGTTTCCTATTATCTTCACATTTTGAGTGAGTTTCCCCCTGCCAGCAAGCATTCGATCTGATACAGCATCTTCCTTCGTTGAATTCCATGCTTCTTGAGTCATGAAGTCTTCCTTTATATTCTTTAAAGCTTACTTTCATGCTGTATATCAACGTGTATACTATCCTTCATATTCACAGAGGGTATATCTGACGGCGATGATTTCCATGACCGTGTGGTTGGAATGTAAACCGAGACAAGGGGACTGTAGTGCTGTCAGTCCTAAATACAGGCAGTCCCCTCCTATGTGGGGAATTTATTCGTGTTTGTAATTCTTGCTTCACAGAGAAATCACACCTTGTCTCAAAATAGGCTGCTATATCTTTGATTCTTTTTCCCAAAATAGGGTTAATCCATCTACTATTGTTGCTTTGCAGAAGATGCTAGATTAGATTATAAGCTATTTAAGAAGAAGGAACATTGCTTATTTATTTCTATATCTCCAGGGCCAGAATACAATCGGAACTCAATAAATGCTTGTCAAATGGCTGATAACACATGTATCTTATCATTTGAACTGATGTTTCAGGTAACAGAGAACTGCATTGTTATTTTCTCCATGAGAAAAATGTTGAAATTTAATTGTTTGAAATAAAATAATCTGTTACTTTCTTTAAAAATTTCTACCAAATTCTCATTTTTAAATTTTTTCTGCCTCATAAGGCACCATGGATTTTAATTGCTTTTCCCAATACCACACAAATGAGCTAAAAATAAAAAAAAAAAAATATTGGGGTAACATTCTCCTCACTACCACCCCCATCCAAAGCAATGCATGACTAGCAATATTTTAAGAGATTGTCAGAAATATTTTCCTCTCTATTCATTTTGAGTACTGATGCATTCCAGCCAAAAAGAAAACCCCAGTTTCCCCCTTTTTCTCTTTTCATTCATGAGGTACTATATCTACTACCTTGTCAAATTTTAGATGATATCATCTTATATTAACAAAGATACCTCTGTTGTATTTTCTCCATACTACTTTGAATAGATTTTGTCCTTGTATTTATAATTCTCTGATTTGTAAAATTTGGGGGCCATTTTGGCTTATAACATTGCCCTTAGTCCTTTATACTTACTCTCCAGATTTCTTTTCCCTTTGCTGTTTTGACAACTGTAGTAGAGTCCGTTAACCTGCTGTTTTGGAATTTCCATATCCTTTCATTACTGTGTACTAATATATTTAGCATGTTAAGTAGCTTCAGTGGAAGAGTGAATTTTACTAT